CGCAGTTTGGACCATCGCTTTGCCTTTGACAAGTCTTCGCATTTCCAGGGTTGCAGTTCCTGTAAGTGAAGGGAAGTCTTTGCACCTCATGCTGACCCTGTGTCTGCCAGGCTTGGAAGCCCTCACATTAAACGGGCAGAGATCCAGCAGCACTACTGCAGGGACCTACCAGCCTCTTCCCTCGGACACTTTTTCACTGAACACAACCTTGTCATCCTGAAGGTGAAATATGATGCCATTAGATGGGAAAGGAGTTATCTGGAAAATGTGACAGCAGTCTCTGCGCCTGTAATTATCTGACTGCAGGAATAAGTGGTAATCCCACCATTAGGAAGGAGAACACAGGCTCCTTGATCTGCCACGCACTGAAAGGTTCCTACATTTTAGAACGTTTTCATCCCAGGACCCCCTGGACGAGCTGCAGGAACGCTGCAAGAGGAGAAAAGGGGCTCCATGTCTATCCCTGAGGCTTGGGACTGCGGGATGAGCTGCTGTGATACTGTTATTCTGACTTCCAGCAGCTCAGGGATGTTAATCAGGGAAACAAACAACTAAACAAACAAAACAAACAAAACCCCAAACCTATAGTTCATGTGAATTCAAGACACTGTAAGAGCTTCGGGAAGTGGGCTCCATTGCAGAGGTCCTCGGGGCAGGGACCCAGTGCTGACAGAGCTCCTGCCTCAACCCAAAGTCACTGGGTTGGTGTCCAGACCATGGTGAAGAGACACATGAAATATTGCTGGGGAGCTGAGTCCTCTGAGCACATCAGCCTTGATACTGCCAAGGGAATGTAGCTGCTTTCACTTGCCAGCTAGGATTTTGGGCTGTCAGAGGGATGGCTCTATCCTCTGTTGAATCGGCACCGTACGCTTCCATCCTCCTGATAAGCAATAGAGGTTCTCTGGGAAAACCCAGGAAGTCTAAAATACTAAAAACGATTGAAACCTGCTTTCCTAGACCACTGTGAACTATAGGTCATGCAATGGCTGAGCTATTTCTTCATCTCTTCCACCGTAAACTGATGCAAAGTCTTAGTTTAAACTGGAGGCCAGAGATAAAAACTGCTTCACTAGACAAAATTTCTGCTCGTAAGTGCATGCAAAGAGTGTTTACACTCTGCCAAATGGCAGTAAATATTCCTGAATGTTTCTGACAGAGGAGAAAAAAATAACTGCTGGGTGTCAGAGTGTCTGACCCATCCTGACTACGAGAAAAGCAGCCATGCAAAGAGACAGATGACCAGAAGGTGTTTTGGAAGAGGCACTTCCTTTCAGTAGGTCACTGGGCTCTGGTCAAGGACATTTAGGTGAAACCTTTCCCATGTCAGAAGTAAGGTTGTGTACACTATATTCTGAACTATGAGATGTAAGAAATATAAAACTATGTAAGCTTCAGTTTACAACAGGCACTGCACAGACTGGGTGGTCTCTGAGAGCTGAGCTCTAAGTAGTTTTTAGCTACTTTGTAAGAAGCAAACAAAATAAAAACTTTGGGGCTCTGCTTTTGGGCTGGAGCATCAGTCTAGGCAAGAGGCTTGTGGTCGGGTGGCTGAGGGCTGTCCCTTGTCCCCTCGTGCACCTTATACCCTTGCTGGAGGGAGGTGCCTGCGCGCCTTCAAGCCGGGTGTGACTTGACACAGCAGGACACGTGTTACAAATGGCCACGTGTCACCAGGTGGACACCTTCCCAGCGCGTCCCCGGCCCGTTTCCCAGGCGCGGAAGGTGAGAGCAGCGCTGGCTCTGGTGGAGGGTGCCGGGTGCTCCCCAGGCGCAGGGCTGGCCGCGCTGACCTGGCTCGCAGCTCCTTCCACCCGGGCAGGCCGTGCTGGGCAAAGTGGGAGTCGCTGCCTTTAAGCAAAGCATCTGTTTATGCTTGAAGCAATTAGTGAGAGCAGATCTTGAACTCGTTACAGAGCCCAGAACAGTTACGATAGAAACAAGTTCCAGACAGGCTCGAGAGGGGTTGTTTTTGTCTTGCCTAAATGAGAATGGATTCCATGCCGTCGAGTTCCTCTGGCGTTTGTGGACAGGAAACATGAATTACACACAATAATTTACTACAAACAAAAGAGGTGAACTCTGAAACAGCCCATTTATCTTTGTTCATGTGCCTCCTTGAGGTTCGTATGTTGTTTAACTCCTGGGGAGAGCTAATGGCTTTTTTCTTTGTTTTGTAGCTCTTTGCTATTTTAGTTTGCAGAAACTGAGACAGGAAGCTGTTGAGTTTCGGTCATGAAACTTACATGTTCCGTAAAATCACCCCAGAAATGAAGAAACAAAAACAGAGCAAACAGGAGGGCCCAGCAATGGTCTAACATTTTATCCCCAAAAGGGTATCCACAAAACCCTTCTCTTTCAGGAAACTGCCATCCACAAACGAGTTCAGCTCAGAAAGCCCTGCAAATGAGGAGCTGTGCGTATTGCATATTTGCCTCTGTGAATTCATTTAGCTTTGATTTTAAAAAAATATTAGTTTCTTGAAAGAGAAGGGTGCATCAGGTTGCTACAGCTAAGCTGCAGATGTAGAACTGGTATGTGGAACTGCATGGAAAAGAGCTGTCCCAGTGCCGTAGTGTTTCAGCGCTTCCTGAGAAGGAGGGATAACAGATGGGATACTTAATTCCTTGGGCAGTTCCAAGGGTCCCCAAACTGAAACCTTCCTCAAAACCTTTACAACAGCGGTCATGGATGGCCCAAGTTGAATCTGGGCATTTTTAATAGAAATTGAGAGTTGCTGATGTCTTGGGGTTTGAAACTGGTGCTGTACAATGATGTGAACTCCACTCCTTAAGAGAACCAACAGCTAGCAGACAAGGGTCAGTCATTGCCAGGAACCCTGCTCCATCTGCTGTAGGTCCCTGGGGAGGGACGGGACAATCGGACAGGGCAGGAGGAGACCCACAAAGAAGCTCCTGGGCAGGGTTGCTGCTCTGGATCTTCCTGCAGCTGAGGCAGTGGGTCCGGGTTTGCTTTTTTGAGTTTTTAATTGTATTCCATGATTTTATAAATGAAATCATGTCCGTATCACTATAAAAATGTGCAATGAGAGCTCGCTATGCAATTAGGCTTATGTGAAGTGGTGGAAGAACATAATTCCCAAAGCCCATAAAATGTGATGAGGATTGTAATAAAGGCAAAAGCTGCCCCTGGGCTTGAGTCACCTTGGCTGAGCTCCAAGTGCTGTGAGATCATGGCTGGGAAGCAGCCTGGGAACTGGAGGTGTCACTGAGATTTGCCTGGTCTCTTCCAGGGCTGGATGGGGAGCTACTCCATGCATTTCATCACTTCCCCACTCCATGAATCCTAGAAATGAAAGCCTTAAGCACAAGCCTGGGCTGGTACATCTCTATTTTTGTCTGGCAAACAAGGGAAAAGAAGAAAAAATGACAAACTGATGACATGTCTTTACATTTCACGCACTCTGATCTGGACATATTTCTCCACAGGAAGCGAGTGGGATTGAACCCTTTGGATTCTCATTACTGTGGAGTGAGCGAAACTGAGACATGATGACTTCCTTCCTTCCTTGCTTGCTTGCTTCCTTCCTTCCTTCCGAGAGTGTCCGAATGTTCATCTGCAGCCTTGGTTCAAGCCGGGTAGGGGACACGTGTCATCGTGCCTGTGCCCAGCTCAGACTCCGCCCTTGCCTCCGTGCAGGGAACACAGGAGGGAATCCCTGCGCAGAGGAGCAGGACACCTCTCACGCGTGTCCTTCCAGGTGGCCGCTGGTCCCTCTCCTGGTGGTGGAGAGCTCCGTGCCTCACCAAGGGCAGCGCAGAGCCACGGGACCTTGGGCCTGGACAGCCACGTGAACATGGGCAGCTCTTCACAGAGCTCCAGCCCTGGTAAAACCCTTCTGTGCCCATGACCTTGGTTGGTGTCACTTGCTGGAGCTCTTGCGCCCACCCCACCTCCTGCTTTTTTTTCCCACGGCTGTCCAGAGGGCCAAGCTCCCCTAGCTCCGCTCCCAGCCCCCTCGCGCAGCTCTGGCCCAGCCCTGGGACTCTCCTTCTCCTCGAGCTCTCTGTCAGCCTGGTCTCAGCCTCCCCTGTGCCCACTGGCTGCGGCCGCTGCTCTTCACTCTTCCCCCTGCTACGTCTCTTCAACCATCCCGTGTTTCCCCAGCTGGGTTTTGTTCCTTGTCCAGCAGCAGTCACAGGGTGGAGGTGGCAGGAGACAGACAGACAGACTCCTTCCCCCAGCAGTGACATCCGTTCCCATTAACTGAAGCTTAAGGAGAAATTGCAGTGCTCATTAAGAGCCTGGTGACAGTTCAACCTTCTCCTGTGGAAACCCAACACCAGGGTTGGGCTGAGGGCACCGCCAGCCCTGACAGCTGCGCAGGCCAGCGGCTCTGCAGAACTTCATCAGCACAAGAGCCACGAGGTTTATCTAGAGCTTTATCAGACCATCCTTTCACAGAGTGTTTTGTGATGCTCTTGCGCCAGTTCTGTGGGGCGCAGAGCTGCTCTGCTGGCTCCTAGGGAGCCCTGTGCGAGTCTTGCTGCCCTCCCCGACCCGCCGGGTCTGGGCTCTTTTTGGGGAGCTCCCGGCCGGCTTCGGCGCCGCACACCCCGGGGAAGCCGCTCCTCGTCCCGGACAAGAGGAAGCAGCGGGGTTAGCGGGAGTTGCCGAGAAGCCCAAGCCCCGCTGGGTGGTGCTGAAGGGGACGTGGCTTCGGCGGCTGCAGGGGGCACCTCTGGCAGCCCAGAGGACGCACGGGAGCGCGGGCAGTGCTGCGCACGCGCCGCCGCCGGGCCGGGCCCGAACCCATTGTCCCGCGCCGGCTCCGCCGCGGATTGGCCACCTGCCGGGCGCCACGTGACTCCTTTTGTTTCTGCACCCCGCCCTCGCTCACCTACCTGCCGCAGACGCCGCGCGCTACCATTGGCCACGCGCTCGCCTGGCCCCGCCCCTCGACGGCGCTCCTCCTTCCTGGTGCCCTTGCCCCCTGCAGCGGGTCCATTGCGGATTGGCGGAGCAGGGAAGCCGAGGGCATGAGGCACGCGCCCATTGGCCCGCGCCAGCCGCCTGGCGCGCCGCCATTGGGCAGTCGCGGCGCGCGGGGGCGGGGGGGAGGGCGGGGCGGC